TTATGGACGTAGTCCTAACTTTTATGTTAACGCCATGCTTATGTTTGTTTGCATTGTGAATGGGCCTTAACCGTTTCTGTAAGATTGGTGGGATAGGAGGTAGTAGGTTGCGCCGACGTACTGGGGGAGCTGTTAGGTCGAAACTGTTGAGAATAGTGTGGGTGAGTATGTCAATTTCTCGAGAGATTTTCAGCGATGGAAGTGGTGGTAGGATGCGAGACCCCAGGATCTAAAAATGAGGGTAGCTGACTTCTTGTAGGTAGTTAGGCTGGGCCGGGCGATTTTCGGTAAATAATGTATGCAGGGAGAAAAGAGAGGAATGGTCTGAACGGAGAGCGATGTGTGGCTCTACGATGATATAGCTAATGTTGCTAAAGAAACCGAAGTCAAGAATGTCTGCTTGTATTGCATATTGGTGGGGATGAACTGGGAGAATGAGCACACACTGTTAGATTTAATATTTCAATATCCGCAAGAAGAAGGATGCCAGCAGGAGATTTAAGTCTGCTACCACTCACAGTATTCTTCGTCCCCTACAACAATTGTAAGTTGATTTGATGAAAACAGCGGATCGATACGTAAGACCTGTTTTATAAGGAATATTGAGGGACTTATACAAGGTCTGTCCCTAAAATAATGCGCCCATTTTTATTTTAAGAAATTTATTGAAACGATTCGAAAAGTTTCTGTATATTGTTACGAATATTGCGTCACCTGCCGAATTCGCTGCGCGCGGATTGCGTCATCTGCCGGCGCCTTATCTTCTTGGAGTAAAATTATGCGTGAGGGGTATTCTGAGGATGGTGAGGTGAAAGTTGCGGGCAAATATTCTCCAAGAAATTGGCTTTATCTGCAGGTGTAGTTGTTGCGCGCTACAATGGTGAGCGATATATTAAGATGGATCGCGCCCCAAGGGACGGAGAGTGCTATTACCGGGATCAGTTGGGTTTATTATTTTAGTGAGTAGATTTAGAAGAAATATTCAAGAAGGGCAAAGAATGCTTTTGCCAGTGATTACGTATATATCTTTTGATGATATAAAGGCAATTCACAATGAAACATAAACATGTTCGCATAGTCATGAAGCATTAACATAAGTCATAGACTGAAGTATGTCTAACGAACGTAAGCCAACATAAAGTTCTATTGCTGCGAGACATATCCTGGTTTACTTTGGTTGGATGTGAGAATCGAATTTCAAGGTATCGACAGTGTCCATGGCTCATCGCGTTAGTTCTTTCTATCGACTTCGCTCCAATTTCGATTCTCGATTTTGGTTACCGTTCTGTTGATTGGTCCATTCTTATGTCTTACTTAAGCATCAGCACCGAAGCTTGCAAGCTTGAAAGTTAACGTCTTACGTGTTATGCTTATGCGAACGCATTGTGGAATGAGTCGCTTATGGAACGTAGTCCTAACTTTATTGTTAACGCCATGCTTATGTTTGTTTGCAATTGTGAATGGGCCTAACCGTTTCCCTGTAAGATTGGTGGGATAGGAAGTAGTAGGTTGCCGCCGACGTTACTGGCCGGGAGCGTTAGGTCGGAAAAACTGTGGAATTAGTGTGGGTGAAGTCATGTCAATTTCTCGAGAATTTGTCAGCGATGGAAGTGGTGGTAGGATGGCGGACCCAGGATCTAAAAAATGAGGGTAGCTGACTTCTTTAGCGTAGTTTAGGCTGCGGCCGAGGCGATTATTCCGCGTAAATAAATGTATGCAGGGAGGAAAAGAGAGGAATTGGTTCTGAACGGGAGAGCGATGTGTGGCTCTACGATGATATAGCTAATGTTGCTAAGAACGAAGTCAAGGAATGTCTCTTGTATTGCATATTGGTGGCGGATGAACTGGGGGAGAATGAGCACACTACTGTTTAGATTTAATATTTCCAAATAATCCGCAAGAACCGAAGGATGCCAGAGGAGATTTAATCTGCTACCACTCACAGTAATTCTTCGTCCCCCCTACAACAATTGTAAGTTGATTGGTGGATTGGAAACAGCGGATCGATTACGTAAAGACCTGTTTTAAAGGAATATTTGAGGGACTTGTACAAAGGTTTGCTCCCTAAATAATGCGCCCATGTTTTTATTTTAAGAAAATTTATTGAAAGATTCGAAAAAGTTTCTGGTATTATTGTTACGAATTTATTGCGTCACCTGCCCGAATTCGCCTGCGCGCGGATTGCGTCATCTGCCGGGCGCCCCTTCCCTTCCCCCCCCCGAACCAGACGGATCCGGACTATCCGCGAGCCCGCGGAACGCCGAAGAATGTGCCCGGGTGCCTGGAGACAAGCGCCGGGCAGGTATAAATGAGCCGCTGCCGGCGGCGGCGAGTCAGTTAGTAGAAGGACGTGAGTAGAAGTCAGTGAGAGTAGCTCGGACGTTCAGTGAGTAGCAGAGAAGCAGTCAGTCCGTCAGTGGTGTCCCGAAGTGGAAGCTGTGCCCTGTTGAAATGTGCAATTTGCCGGGTGAAAGATGGTGCCCAGCGGTTTGAACAGCAGTCAGCAGCTCTGAAGCTGCCAGTGGAAGCCTGACTCTGAAGCGGTGCATCGCGGTAAGCAGTGGTGCAGTGGAGAAACGAGCATTCAGCAGTTTGAAGTCTGCCCAGTGGAAGCTGAGGTGTGAAGTGGGCATCGCGGGTAAACAGGCAGTTGCCAGTGCGACCCTGCGTTGTACGCAGTAGAAGTGTGGTCTGCGCAAGGAATTGTTGGTCTGGCGCAGGGAATTGTTGGTCTGTGGCCAGGAATTGCGGTTCAAGGTGCAAGTG